ATCAAGAACGGTTCTTGATATCAGTCCTTTGTGAAAGGGCTGATTGGAAGTAGTGCTCACGTGCCGTCCAACTGATTCTTGTGAAGGATCTGGTTCTTTGGAAGAACACTGCTGATTCTGCTCCATCCTACACTGTGCCATCTTCAATGGGAGCAGTCTTTGGTTCCTTCCTTGGGCGTGAACACCTCCATTGGGAGATATTGTTTCTCCGTATCAGGTATATCCCTCTCCTGCTTTTGGTTTCAGATCTGATTCGGTTTATGGTTCAAGATTGATCATTGAAAATGCAGATTTTCTAAAAATAGGGAATGTGATTCCTAGATGAGGAGAGAGGAAATTTTTGAAATTTCGCCCAACCTACCTGCAGGGTTTGGCCATCCATATGATGGATCTCTCATTCCTTCAGATATTAGCATATTTGAAGAGGTCCCCAGGCAGAGGCATTTTGTTCAAGAATAATAACCACATGAAAATAGTACATAGATGCTGATTAGGCTGGGTGTGTTGATGATCGAAGATCAACCTCTAGATATTGTGCCTTTGTAGGAGGTAATTTGGTCTCCTGGAAGAGTAAGAAACAAAGTGTTGTTTCTTGTTCCAGTGTTGAAGCTGAATATTAGTCCATGGCAAGTGGTGTGACTGAGATTCTATGGTTAAGATCATTACTTGAGGAATTGGGTGTTGTTTATGAGAAACCCCTAATGTTGTACTGTGATAATCAGGCTGCCATTAATATAGCCCATAATCTAGTATAGCACGACAACACTAAGCATATTGAAGTGGACCAGCATTTTATCAGAGAAAGGGTTACATCTCAAGAAGTATGCCTTCCCTACATCACCTCTGACATGCAGCTTGCAGACCTTCTCACCAAGGCTGTTTCAAGAAAAAAGTTGGAAGATCTATACAAGTTGGGAATGACAAACATCTACTCCCAACTTGAGGGGGAGTGTAGGAAATTGTGGACCCCACATTAGTGTACTTGTGTGACAGCCTGAGTTGTATTTAGATTTAAGTCATTGATTAGGGTTAGCTTTCCTAGTAGGATTAGTTTTAATCTTATCTTATCTTRTCTTGTCTTGCCATGTAAGCATTAAGTCCTATTACAATTATGAAACTATGTATATAAATTTAAAGGGTGGGGCGGCTGTCTTACAACACCAACCACTCTCTTCCTTCTAAAACCCTTCCACGAGTTCTCCCTCTCATCTCTTCTTCTCTTCTCCTCTTCTCTTCTATTTTTCTTTTATTTTCTGTTCAAAATCTAAAAGATATCTGTAGTCCTGTACGACTACTGAATGTAACTTGGGTCAACACCATATTCTTGGGGTTGACAGTTGTACTTCGAAATATATTTAATGAATCTACAGTTTCCAATCAAGAAAGGGTAAATTTCTGAAATCTCCCCTGAAGTTTCATAATTGCATTTACCTTCCTTGAAACTTTAGGAGAGGTTTCACAAATTTACACAAAAAAATCAATGGCAAGAGGATTGAACTTTCTCTGATACCTGTTAGTGCAGTTCAAATAAAGAATGTGAACAGATTTGTGGTGTGTCTAAGTCAGTTAACCACACCAAGAGAAAAATATTTATATATTAATGTAAAGTAAAAGGACAAATCTGTCCCTAAGATACATGATGTATAGTACAACTAGAAATAAATTTACAATATTAATCCTCACTATCCTTGTCTCTATAGCAAGTGGCACAAGTGCACCTTCTGTCTTGGCAATATTTCAATCTATTATGTTCTCCAATGAGTTTCTAGCAAAATTTCAGTTTAATTTTTGTTGTAACTTATCAAACAGATGTATTCCTAAATTGCATGAAATATTGGCGACATTTAGAACCATGAGACATGTTTGGGATATAATGGCCCTAGATGCATCTACCTAGTATCAGATATTCAGATCTGAGTCACTACTTCAATCCTCATATTGAATGTTCTTTTGTAAGGGACTGCAAAAGTTTTTTCTGTCATGGTTTATTATTTCTAGCCCTTGTAAGGGACTGCAAAAGTTTCCCTACACTACTGTCATCAAAAACTCCTCTTTCTGATTCAAGTTGTAAGACTAAATCTCTAAAACCACATGGCTTACCACCAGATATGCATGTTATAGCAGTTATATGATTGTGATATGGGTACCTGGTTTTCTCCTTGGAGTGGCAAGGTGAAAGGATGAGAGATCCATCATATGGATGGCCGAACCTTGCAGGAAGGTTGGGCGAAATTTCAAAACTTTCTCTCTCTCATCTGGGAATCGCATTCCCTATTTTAGAAAACTACATTTTCAAGGATCAATCTTGAACCAAACCAGACCAGATCTGAAACCAAAAGGGAGGAGAGGGATATACCTGATACGAAGTAGCAGTAACTCCCAATGAAGGTGTTCATGCCCAAGGAGATAACCAAAACCCGCTTCCACTGAAGATGACAGTGTGTGGTGAAGCAGGATCAGCAGGACAGCTCTTCAGCAAGAATGGAGTAGAGGGCTGGTGAGCACGACTTCAGATTGCTTCTTCTACCAAGAAGCAATATCAAGAACAATTCTTCATCACTCCCACAAGTGGAGATCGAACTGGGTAGGGGCAGCAAGAACAGGGAAGAACTCTGTAGATTGGTGTGATATGTTCGGTGTGTTTTGCATGTCCGCCCTGCTCTCTTATTTATAGCCTTAAAGAGGCAGCCTCCTAATCTGATTAGGAGTTTCTTGATCCAAATCTTTATTTGGATTTGGACTTTTTAAGTGATAAGGATAATTCCTTATCTTATTTGTAGTTTAAGATCAGCTTAATCCTAATCAAATTAGGAGTTTCCTGGTCCAAATCTTTATTTGGATTTGGACTCTTTAAGTGGATAAGACTTATCCTCTTATCCTTATCTGTTGATCCAAACCCAAATCCGCCCCTATTTAATTAATCTAATTAATCCAGTTCGAATTGGGCTTTAGGCCCATTAAGTTTATGTGCTCACTTAACGTCTTAACCTGCTGCCCAGTTGGCTTTCTTTGTATGGCGTGGGACCCAAACATTGATCTACACATCAGCCACATGGGATCAGTCCAACTTTTGTTACAAGGCCTGGCCGAATTCACTGTAGGAGACAGTGAACCCTTGAGCCCATCACTTTGGACTCTTAATGGGCCCAACATTTACACTAAATGGTCATTGGGTCCAACCACCCTATGAAAACCCAAGGACTGTGGGCAGATGCAAGATTAGCCCATCAGGTATTAACCTCAATGGTCTTACACTTAACCTCTCAGCCCATAATGATCAAATACTGCCCGACAAGAGAGGACCTCTCCTTCGGCTGCAAGGAATAGTGTTGCACTCTCTACTCACATGGATCCCGGGAATTAAAACYTTTTGCAAACATTTTGAAACCATAATATATATGTATATCTCTATATAAATATATTTTGCAAAAACAAATTKCAAYGRTTGAAATCRAHTRYCGDCARYTTWGGTTTCCATCAGAGAGAGTGCATCCCCGATCATTCACTTTGT